GAAGAACAGTGGGAGCTAAGGCTGGATCACAGGAGTTCTCAAGGCCCATACCTCAATCTTATCCATTACCATCTCCTACTTTATTTCTTAAAAACCAGCTTTATTTCCTCAGTTTCCTTTTAGTCACTGGCTTTGCAGCTAGTTTTTTCTTCCCCTATCATTCATTTTAAGAGTGGAATATTATCTATTACCATGAGTATAAAAGAATACACCAAAGGTTTTATATATACATATATGTGTGAGTATATACATATGTGTGTGTATACATATATGTATATACATATCTATATCTATATAATGTACACACACGTATCAAGTGTGAGTCAAGAGAACTACTGTGAAGTCTCCTGCTTCTTTAAAAAACAAACAAACCTGAAATTCTTGAAAAGGAATTCAATAAATCCTTTCTTCCATATTTTTGCATCAGCCATAATGTGTATTGAAATAATGTAAACACAGTCAAATGTGCCAGATTGTATGTGTGTTTGGTAATAGTTTGCTTAGTGCTCATGAAAACCAGCAACATTATACATGAAAAGTGAAAAGTGCCTAACTTAGGACTGCCCAAGGTCAGTCCTGGGCTAATGTCTATTTCTTTATTCTCACTCTCCACCCTTTTATCCATGTAAAGAAGTTTCCAGGAAAGGAATCCTTCAGTTAGTTTCTCAGTTTTTTTCACTTTTTTTCCCCGGCACTCAGCTGAGTGGCAAAATGAGGCCAAAGGTGTGACTAGGCCTCTATGTTGTGCTGGGTTGGTGGGGAGGGTACAGGTGGAGGGAGGGCTGGGCAGGACCGAGAGGAAAGACACTGGGAAGAAATGATTCAGGAGATGTGGCTTTACAAACGTCTGCCAAAATTTACTGTAAGTCCTCAGTTAGTGGTTAAAAAACACTTTAACGCACCCCTAAGATCTAAGACTGAGAGAAGTTCTAAGACTAGAGAGTTACTTATATAATAAGAATGGGTTACAGTGGGGCATGTACCAGTGGGGGATTTGGGGTGAGGGGAGGAGTAGAATATGGTGGAGGTGGGTAAGAGTGAGTTATTTGGACATACGTCCTACCACAGGCTCACAAATATTTAAGTAGAGCCTTAGCACAATTTGTTAACTCTGATTTAGGTTATTTATATTGAAAGCAATGAGTGAGCTTACCTTTGAATCGCAAAAGCTTTCATTAAGGACCCCAAAAGATAACTCCATGTGTGTGTGTGTGTGTGTGTGTGTGTGTGTGTGTGTGTGTGTGTGTGTGTGTGTATGTGTGTGCGTGCCTATAGTATAGTGCTCATGTAGTTCTGGTAAGTCATCACTAATACAAAGTGGGCTCCAGTAAACATGTTAGGATATGGCTCATGTACTTCTGTAGGGTTAGTGCTCTTGGGTCTGAGCTGATGACAGATAGTTCCCCCATTTTCAAACTTCCTGGAGTTGACTTTTAAGGCCTTTTATTGGAGGTCATAGGCATCAAATTGGTCTTTTCAAATATTTTAATATACCCACTGGTCAATAAAATTCATCTTACTAGAGGATTCTTATTACAGTAAATCTGGTCAGTCAGCTAAGGGAGTGAAGGCCAAAACCCTGAGTGGAATTCTTTCACTGGTCAAACTGAATATTTAAATGTTACAATCACCCAGCATAGAATTACGGGATAATTGTAGAGTATATAGGAGACCCATAGTTTTACCTATCCAATACAACACCCTGTTTTAGGTTTTTTTTTTCTATTTTCACATGCATTTCTAAAAACTTTTTGTTTCTCCTCAAAAACTCCTGCTGATTATTTGGGTAAAACTTTCAACTTAGCACCTTGATTTCCCCTCTGAAAGAAAAAGCACTTTTTGGGGAAGGCATGAAAAAGCATTTGCTGAATCAGTTGAACACCCTCCGAAAGTAACCTTCCTGTTCAGTCCACTATAAATGAATAGTGTGTGGTCAACTACCAGCCCAAACACAAACATTTTGCTATAAGACTCAATGCTGGAGGCAGTGTTTTCTCTAGTTGAATTCCCATTGGGATTTTCTTAGCCAAAGCTGATAAACAGTTGAGTGTAAACATTCTGATCTGAGCTCCATTCATGTCTCTGATACAAGGTAAGAAGTCACTAAGCAAATGACATTAGGCCTAGTATAATGAGGTCTCTGAGACATATACATTATTTTGACAGGATCTTAAAATTAAACTTCTATGTGTGTTGAGAGAACAGGAAGAAGTGGATGGAGGAGAGAAGAAATGAAATGGGAAGAGAAAAAAAATGATAGGTTAGGGCATAATCTACAAATTCCACTAGACAAAAATCTTTGAGGACAGGGAGTATGTCTACTCTCTGTACTATACATATCTTAACATTAGGGTGCTCCTCAAAGAGAGGTTGGGCAGAGCAATTATCCAGTAAAGGCAGTGTGTGATGCTATATTTTTTTGCTCTACTGGTGATGTTACAAGTGATGGGGAAGGATTGTTTGCTATTATTTGGTTTTATTTACTTTGTGTGCCAAATATATATTTTTCTTACTCTGAAACCCGGGAGTTTTGGAAGCATTTGCCCACAGAGGGAAGGAAGGCATGAGCCATAACTTATCAGTCGAATAGAAAGGAGGCAATGAATAGAGGTCACAAGAGGTCCAGGAAATGCTATTCATTGTTCATTGTTCAAGAAGCTTTCTCATCTGAAAAATGAAGAGACCAGACTGACTACTAATATGTCTTCCAGTTCTAAATATAAGAACAATGAAATAGTTCCAGCCCTCATCCAGCTTACATTCTGCTGGAGGAGAGAACATATAAACAGATAAATTTGCACAAAATACATACGGAGTAATTTTATGTGTGGGAGGAGGGAAATTGCTCAGAACTGGGGGAATGGCTTCTTATAGGAGGGGGTATTTGAGCCTTAATGGGAGGTAGGGATTCCAAGAGATGGAGGTGAGGAAGGGGAGCATTGCAGATGAGATGGACAGTGTGTGCTCTGACATCAAAGTGAGACATTGAATATCACGGAGAGGGAACAGCAGGTAGAACAGACTGTGTAGTGGATTTTCTGTCATTTCAAGTGAAATATACAAACTCTCCAAGTAGAGTTTGGATGATGACATGTCCCGGAGGTTGTGAGGAAATTCTTGCTTAGGTACAGATTAGACCAGATGACCTTTGTGGTCCTTTCCAATTCTGAGACCCTGTGACTTGGCTAAGGAAGAAAAGGTTAGTATAGAAGCAAGAAAATCCTTCAAAGAAGCAGCTTCTTGAAATGAAAGGGAACAGTGCCCCATGTGGCAGGAATGGAAGCCAGAGCCCAAATAAACACTCCAGGGAAATCCATAGATTAATCTGGCCTCTGGGTTTTGGGTTAAATCCAGATTTATGGATTAAGCTGCTAAACCTCTGAGGCAGGGGGATTGGAGCCTTGCAGTGGTTATGAGACTTTTCTCTTCTCCACAAAGGGATGAGACAAGAGGCAATGGGTTTAAACTACAGCCAGAAGGATTTAGAGGTAGAGCTATAGAGTAATTTCCCAGACAGATGAGATTTGCCAAATATCATACTAGAATTGAATACTACAGGGAAAGGATACTCAACTAAAAACTTGGGGTCTACTCCCTACTAACTAACTAGGCAGCTGTGTGAGTTGTGAGCAGTTCATTTATCTTCTTGTCAGGTTCCTAATTTGTAAAATTGGAGAAAAGACTAGGGGTTTTAACTGAACTCAAACTAAACTAGCGGTTTTAACGAGCTCAAAAATGCACAGCAGCGTAATGGGTCTGTTAAGAAAGGATACACCAATAGAAGTATAGCACTCAGACCAAGGGATGTCATAGTCCTGCTGTTCTTGGAAGTACTGCGTCCTGTTTCGGGTGCTACATACTAAAATAGACCTTGAATGAATACATTCAGAAGAGGGTGACAAGTTGGTGAGGGTGTCTGGAAACCATGTCCTACAAGGAATAGTTGAAAAACTAGGAATTTATCCTAGAGAAAAAGATACTCAGGGGGAGACTGAGTGACAGTTGTTTCGAATACCTTATTGGTATATGAAATGAGAAGCCTTTGAAAAGAAGAAAAAGTACAAGTATACACAGAAAAATAATTATACAAAATTAGCATATTAGGAGGAAAGGAAAGGAACAAACATTTGATTCTCACAATAACCTTGGAAAGTAGGTGCTATTATGATCACCATTTTAAAGGTTTTATTCATTTACATTTTATGTGTCACAATTTTCTTCTTTCTGCTCATACTAGCCCATTATGCTACCAACTGTTTCATTAGAAGAGCCTGTTTACAAGAGAAGTTTTACAGATTCAGGAAGTATTTCCCCCCAACATCAATTTGGATGTTCTTTCTAATAGTGCTACTATCAACCCATCTGTGGCTGCTCGTCTGATGTCATTCGTGGCCACATCCATAAATTCATCACAGAGGATTCACCCAATATCCTAGAAGCTTTCTTCACTTTTTTTCCTGATATTGCAAGGATATTAGTGGAATACTTAGGCTGTCAGGATATTATCTCTTACCTTCATCCCATTTCCCTTATAATAACACTCCCTCACATTCTTTGAATTTCCTCATTGGTCATATATTGCAACCTGTTTACATCTACCACACACCTATCCTTTAATCTCTGAGTGATAATTCATTTTTAATTATTTGTATAATTGTTTTTTTATGTCTCACAGCAATACAATATCAGCATAATATTGGTATTAATATTAATCGATGTTACCAAGTAATATTGGTAATCATATTTTTAAAATGGAACTCTATTTCTAGGAGAAGTTGGAGATCATTAAAGGAACTTTGTAATTTCCTGAAGGCGATCTAGCCGGCTCTCCTCTTCCTGTTTAATTCTGGGTCCAATTCCTCTACTTGTATTGTCTGTATGGAAAAGCCCTATAGGTTGCCTACTTAACTGCATGTCTTAATCTGGTAATAGACATTCTTTATCCACTTGGTCTTTCTTGTATGGCCAAACTATTTTATGTGGTTTTGGATCTCTTCCAGTCAGTTCAGCATTGCTTCGGGATTTGATGCCACCAATACAATGTCACACACAAACAGAAGCCTCGAGAGGACCTTACAATAGATGGGGAATACCTCTTCAACTTGGAATCTGAATTGGACCTCTGCCATCAAAGAGGTAAACACATTTGGCAAGCACACATCTCCCTGTTTAAGCTTCAATCAGTGGTGGTGATCAAACTTGGCGTGTTGAACAAGGTGCTCTGTTGTTCTAGCTTTCAAAGCATCTTGAATGATTTTGATATATGGATAAATGATACCTTTTTGGAAGAGAATCTTTAAGGTTATGTTTTGCTTCTGAAGCAAATGCTTTTTCCACAATAAGCAAATAATAAGTTCAGTGGGATTTCATATTTTCTCCAGCTTTCAATCAACTGAGTGATGGTAAAGATATGATCCCCTGTGGAATAATGCTTGTGAAAGCTGCCTGTTCACTACTAATATCCTCGTTGAGCATGCCCTTGATCCACGTGTAGATGATTTTCATAAAACTTTTGTATAGACAGGAAAGTAGAAGTACAGGTTGTTAGTTGTTTGTCTTCTCTTGGGCAGGGAGTGGGGGGAGGTATTAATAAGATCTGAGATTTCCCCTCCATTCCCCTACCCTTCCTTTTGGAGATACTTTGTGAATCAATCCCTCAATCCCTTTAACATTGGGCAGCCCTGACTATGGATGTCCACTATACTTTGTCCAGTCTGGCTGCTTTTCTTGTCTTTGTTCTCTTATGCAATTTTTACTTCCTTTCTAAGTACAAGGACCGTGATGCTACATACAGTTCCACTGTGGTGGCTTTAAACCAACGTAAAATATTTAAAAAATGTTTTATAAAAATCTTTGCAGAAATTTTCCATTTTTCTTCTGTCTTTCTCCCTCTTTCATCCATTAATTCCCTCAGAATGACTTTACATAGTTGAACCTCATGCCAAACTTTATTTAAAATGGTTTGATTACCCATTGCGTCTCTCTGTTTTAAAAACCAAGTCTGACATAATATAATCTTCCACTATCTTTCTCTGTAAGGTTTTAAAAAGTAGTTTATTCTAAACTAGAGTTACCTTTGCCTCCCATTTCTTTCTTCTTGGCAAGTAAGTAAAATATGTGCTGACCAAAGCACTTTTTAGGCTTTTGTAGTTTCCTTGTAATGACAATTTATTTACATTAGTTAAATTACTACACAAAATTATCATAATTGGTATCAATACCATTTCTACTATCCATTATCCATTTTTATTGTCAGTAGGTCAGAAATGAGTTATTGTAATTTCATACCATTTCTAAATTCTGATTCAGTGTTCTAGGTCTATATTAATTCTGATTTTTGTTCTAAGAAGACAGAGGTTTAAATGTACACAAGCAGCTTATAGGTGTGATTCCTACACTATTAATAAGTCTTTTCCTGTCTGACTGTAACATATAATACATTTCATCTTCTGTGCCATTATTTGGTGCTTACCATGTCTAGTTTCTACTGATTCTTTTCTTGAGGAAAATATTCAAGATGTGAGGCTTCTGTGTAATCTTTAACTCTTTGAATTGTCACATTCCTTCTTTCACCAAACTCACCTTCTCCTTTGCATTGAAGTCACTGAGTATCAAAGTATACTTTGATTTAATTTTGTTGGTCTTAAGGAATTTTTCATAGAGTTTTTCTCTCACTTCTTTCTCTACAGTATATGTTGGCATACAAGCTGCAATTATTTTCATGGTGGCCTTTTTGCAAATACTTAGCATGAGCATTGCAATACAAGACGACCATATGTCCTATAAAATGATATTTCTGTCTGCTTTGGGTGTGTGATAAAACCCACTCCACTAACCCATGTCTTTGCCCCTCAAAGCTTCCATTTAGCTGTGATGTCCTTAAGTCGGCTGGTTTTGTTTATATGGCGAATGTCAAGATTGATGTGATTCAGCTCCTCCAGGAGTATGTCCATTCCTCAGTTGTTAGATACATTTAGAGTATGAACAGCCAAGTTAAAGTTTATACATGGTTTAAAAGCTGGGTGGCTTTTTTATGTTTTGTATCTTTTGCCTCATTTTTTGTGTGTGACTTCACCACTTTCACTCTCTCTCATTTATTTATTTATTTATTTATTTTAGTGAGGCAATTGGGGTTAAGTGACTTGCCCAAGGTCACACAGCTAGTACGTGTCAAGTGTTTGGTCTGAGGCCAGATTTGAACTCAGGTCCTCCTGACTTCAGGGCTGGTGCTCTATCCACTGCGCCACCTAGCTGCCCCTACCACTTTCACTCTGGACATAGACAGTATTTACATAGGACTGAAGGCCATTTTGCATTTTTCTTTGTTTCATGGATTGTCACAGGCCGAAGACTTTAAACACCAAGTGTCCAGGCTACTGGTGACTTCCCTTGGGAAGTAGCCTTAATCTGCTGCCTGGAACATACTCAAAGCCTCTCCAGCATAGAAGAGCTCCTACTCCCACTGACTTAGCCTTTACAAATAGACAGTCACTTCCAAATCATAATAATACATTGGGGGAGAGGTCTGTAGGGCACTGGAATTTAAGAATACCCTGAAAAACCCAACACATTTTTGTGCTAATTTGACACGCCTGGTCTTCCTAGTGTCAAAATTCTATCATATAGATGTTCCATGAACAACTCACAAAATGCCAGTCAGAATACTGTTTCATTATTTCCCAGTTGGCTGCTCCGCTGGTCTCCATGATCTCCAAAAACTCATCATCTCTGTAGGATGACATCAACTCTGAAACTCACTCTTGGCCCTGGGGCCTCTCCCAACCTCTGGTTGGAGTGAGTGGGGGGTAGCCACTGGAGAACTTTTCTCTTATCCTCCACCATTTAAGGGAAGGCACTTAGAGCATTCATCTCATCATTACCCACCCAGTTGCATCCCTGGTTTTCTTTCTTTCTTTCTTTTTCCCCTTTGGCAATTGAGGTTAAGTGACTTGCCTAGGGTCACACAGCTAGTAAATGTCAAGTGTCTGAGGTCAAATTTGAACTCAGGTCCTCCTCACTCCAAGGCTGGAGCTCTATCCATTGTGCCACCTAGCTGCCCCTACATCCCTGCTTTTCATGGTCTCCTTGTAGCTGTGATGTTGTTCCATCAACAGCTACTGGATAGAGTTTTGATGATTTCATCTTCTCAGTTTAGACAAGTAGGGTCAGGTAGGATGCCCTCTACATGCAGCTAGCATTTTCCTTAATTTATGCAGAGCTCTAGGCCTCTTATTACATGTGACTAGTTGGTCATTGATACAGTCATCGTTCTACTCTTTTCTTGGGATTTAACAATCATTCCAGCGGAAGCTAGGTGGCACCATAGTACACGTTCTGTGTACTCTGTGCACTCCAGGCCCGGAGTCAGGAAGACTCATCTTCCTGAGTTCAAATCTGGCTTCAGACCCTCACTAGCTGTGTGATTCTGGGCAAGTCACTTATAACCCAATTTGCCTCAGTTTCCTCATCTGGAAAATGAGCTGGAGAAGGAAATAGCAAACCATTCCAATATCTTTGCCAAGAAAACCCCAAAAAGGGTCATAAAGAGTCAGAGGTAACTAAAAAATGACTGAATGAAAGAACAATCATTCCAATGGAGGGTGTTTCTTCTGGATGCATTTTTTTTGACCTTAGTGTAATAAAGTAGGTGGCAGCTTCTGATATATTTATTCACATTTGTATCATGCTTCTGCACAATAGCCCTGTGAGGTATGCAAACTTCCACACACAGTCATAGGATCATAGTTAGAGTTGGAAGGGACCTAAAGTAGTAGCTATCTAACACCTTCATTTTACAGATGGGAAAACTGAGGCCCAAGAAAGGCAAGTGACCTGTCCAAGATCTCATAGGTCATAAGCCACAGAGCCAGGGTTTGAACCCCATTTCTTTGATTCCAAATCCAGCAACATAAATGCTTTTTCTTGATAAAAAGAGGTGGTAAGCAGTGACATGGAGGGCATCAAATAACATCACAAAGTATGACATTGGTTTTATTTTAATGGATAGTAGAAGACCCAATATCAATGTGAAGGTAACCTTTCATCAACTATCTGAGTACATCAATACCTCTGACTTGTCAGAGTAGAGATTGGAAGGAAGAATAATAGAAGGGAAAATAATGAGGACAAGATATAAGCATTCAATTGGAACAACTCAATTCTGATTTATCTAAACAAATTATCCCGGTATATAATCCCAAATAAGCCTAATGGCCACGAAAGTTGAATGACTTGCCCATAGTTACACAGATAGTGTCTAAGGCAGGATTCAAACCCAGGTCTCCTGATTTTAAGTCTAGCTCATTAGAGATTTTATTTTTTAACCCTTAGACAAGAAGAAGTCACTGAAGACTTTCATAAGACCCACAAAATTAAATCAACATAGACTTTAATACCTTGTATTAAACTTTGTATAGTAACTTCAATGCAAAGATGTGAATAAGAGAGGAAAGCTAAAACTATGTCAGATGAGAAAATTAAGGAATTAGAAATTAGAATGTGAGAAATGAGATTACACTGATACCTCATGCCTACACATCTTGGATACTTTCTTTGAGAAAAGAATAGGAATCTTCTGGACATGCTTAGCTCCAAATAACAACACTGAAATGAAAGTCATTATATTTTGAAAGGAAGTGACTTATTATTGATGTGGGAGTCACTCCCGAATCAGTTGTCCATGTCTAGTCAGACCATGGACTTGTTAGAGGAAAGAGCAACCTTAATAAAATTAAAGCTTTTAAATAATTAATTAAGATCAGAATAAAGAATAAACATGAGAAAAATATATGATGTATGTTTAAAATAACTTCAACTTGATCTGTTTAAACAAGTTATTGTTAGCAAAAAAATGAGAAATGGATGGAAGAGGGCATTGATTATAATAATTTAATATGGAAATTTAAATAACATAAACCAATTGCCATAATAAAGAAAACAAAAGAGTCTAAAAACCGTTTTAGTCAGCAGATACCTGATTTCCTTGCCAAGCTGGGAGGAGGGGGGAGGGGAGGAGGGGGAAGAGGGGGGTGGAAGGAAGAGAGAGAGAGGGAGAGAGAGAGAGAGAGAGAGAGAGAGAGAGAGAGAGAGAGAGAGAGAGAGAGAGAGAGAGAGAGAGAAGATGGCAGCCATGGGTAATATTAGTTTAGTAAAATTTGTAAAAATTTTGTAAAATCTTACAGAGGATAGTGAAAAATTATTAGCAATACTGAATCATAAGATAGTGAAAAATAGTGTAAAAGGGGGGAAAAATTGTTTCAAGAAAGCCTATTGAAAGATCTGATTTAAGCAAACTCTTCCTAAGGTTATTTGAGAATTAAATTGAGAAGACAAGTCTTAACTATCATGGAGACTGGATCCACCATATTCCTCCTCTAATATCACAGACCTGGATATACTTAGAGTCAAAATAGCTCAGAAAAAGAGAAGGATAAGAAGAAGCAGCTGGATTGGATCAAGAATATAAAGAGCAGGTCAATGCTAGATGAGACATAATTTTTAAAGTGCTAAGGGACTGATTTTCAAGATATCTAAAACAAGGGAAGATACCAACCTTGTAATTAAAAAAAAACATTAAAAAGGCCACTCAGTTGAGAGGATATCAATAACCTCTGGGCTATGTGTCTACTTTCCCATTTATAAAATATTTTATGAAACTATCTTATGCATTCATCAAAGGCATCCTCAATGAGGCTATTAGAGCACTGGGCCAGGAATCAGAAAGACTTGAGTTAAATTCCAGCCTCAGACACTTACTAGCTCTGTGACTCTGGGCAAGTCACTTATATATTGTTTGCCTCAGTTTCCTCAACTACAAAAGGGGAATAATGATAATACCTACCTTGCAGAGTTGTGAAGATCAAATAAGACAATATTTGTAAAGTGCTGAGCATAGTGTCTGGCACATAGTAGGTGCTATATAAATGCTTATTCTCTTCCCTCTCCTCCCTTCTCCACCACCCTCCCATCCACCCCAATTAAGAGGGAATAGGCAGACTTTTGTAATAAAAAGAAAGTGATATTACACAGCAGACCTTATTGCTACTATCACAAAATTGACTGAGTTGTAAAGAATACATGATCCCACTACACTTGTTGGTAATTATTAAAAAGTTTGATTCAGTAGATCAAAATTCAACAAAGGGTTCTCTGCAAACAAGACATCTTCCATATGTGTGTGTGTGTGTGTGTTGTGTGTGTGTGTGTATAGTCAAAATTGTGCATAATTCCTTGAAAAGTATAACAGCAGAGATAATCTTTGATGGCTCTCTGATCATTAATATCAAGGTGTAAAACACCTGCCTATAAAAAATAGGAGAATATATATTCACCAACTGTGTTTCCCCTTGTCATTGAGGAAATTCAACACGAAGTCCAACTGGAGGAAAGACTCTCTCTAGATGGTGAGGTCCTTTAGGTTCTCCTGGTTGTAGAGGACTTGATGATTGAATCAATTTGTTGTCTAGTCATTTTTCAGTAATGTCTGACTCTTTGTGAACCCTTTTGGGGTCTTCTTTGTAAAGATACTGGAGTGGTTTGCCATTTTCTTCTCCAGCTCATTTTACAGATGAGGAAACTGAGGTAAACAGGGTTAAGTGACTTGCCCAGGTTCATATAGCAAATAAGTATCTGAGAACAGATTTGAACTCAGGTCTTCTTGATTCCAGGCCCAGTGCTCTATCCACTGGGCCACTGGGCCACTGGGCCACTGCCTTCAATTGAATCAAACCCCAGAACAAAGCAAAGCCTTCTAATTAGAAATCTATAAGGACTCAAAAGATTTTGGCCTAACTATTCACACAGGGAAAACCAAGTGGATGAATGTTATCCAGACTGTAATATGCAGTTGGAAGGATAACTTGCAGAATTTATTTATCATTATATTTGTTTTGGACAAACACTACAAATGGACATGAATTGAACCCAATTGAACAGAGGCAAGAGGGTTGTATTGCCTTTGGGAAATCATACAGATCTCTTAATGACTCTAAGTTTCTCCCTGAAACAAATGTGCATTAAGAAAATCAATATTCTTCTAGTGTTGTTGTTATGACTGAGTCATAGAATACCACAGTCTCTGATTACTTGAAATTGAGGATTATCCAAAGGCTACAGAAAAGCCCACGGTGGGTGTGAGCAGGTTACAACACATCACAAACAAAGAAACACAAAAGAAAAATGGTATAAAGATTGTCTTTAAAGACATGTGGGAATGAAAAAGAAGATGATGAGAGTTACGGATGACCTATGGATGGCCTTGTTTTCTACTGATATCTTTATACATAGGCTCATACATCTACAGTTGGAAGGGACCTCAAAACTATTGAATTTGACACCTTTATTTGACAGATGAGGAAACTGTGCCCCAGGGAAGTTAATTGTCTTGTCCAATGATCACACAGGTAGTAAGGGTGACTTGGGCTTCCCTGGACATGCCCAGGTCTCCTAACATGGAGAGGCCTTGAGGAGCCTTTTGAGAATGCCCAGTTTGCCTTACATGGAGCCCCATTACATCCCCTACCACATCAGTAGGGGCATCTTCCTTTGACCAACTGAGCCATTTACTTTCTCTCTTTATGCCCGTCTTTCTGCTGCTCTCTTTTTGCCAGGTTTTATCTAAGGTCGATTGTCCTAGTTTATCCACAGTAAGGATGACATGAACTGAACCAGTAAGAGGAAAAGGACTTCTTTTTCTTACTCCCTCTTTTGCCCAAGCTCCAAGAAATGGGACTCTGGGAGTGGTGTGGGGTGGGGGTAGGATGGTAGTTGTTTCTTTTCTATGTTGTTTGTTTTTCTCAATTTCAGCTACAAAAGGTGGTCCCAACAGAACCTGGGATTTCAAGCCATGATGACCAGCCCAGCATGGAAGCCCCAAGAAGTCAAGGTGCCTAGGACTTGAGCCCAAGGAGGTGTTTGGACTTGGAAGTGGGGCTGTGCTATAATGGACTGAGCTAAGCTATGAACTTAATCTTCTTCTTCTCCCCAGTGATGGACTTGGTCAGGAGGGGAGGAAGATTATGCTTCTCATATTAGGGTAGTAAGTTTGTATACTTGTTTTGAAGTAAATATTTCTTTACAAAAGTTAATGTAACAGAATAGTAGCTAACAGAACTGGGGTACAGGAATCTGACCCTGCAATCAAGGGGCTAGAGTCAATGACAGAGAACCTAGATCCCCAATGCTCTTAAGGTTACTGAATATCCCTGGGGGGAGGAGAGAAAGCCAACACACCTGGCCTTGCAGGCAGTGAGGTCCTGGGTAGTCTGTGTTATGTAAATATCAGAGGTGCGATTTGAATCCAGATCCACTACACTTTCTGTTCTATCATATTGGCTCATGGCATCAACAGGAAGATGGAAAGTCCCTCACCTCACCCCCTTCTCCCCACATTGAGCGCACCCCCTGTGACAGGCTTATGAGGGGATCTGGACAAGAATTGCACAGTTTGAGCAGGGATGAATGGGCTGCAATGAGCATTTTTCAGAGGAACGCCACAGCGATAATATCTCAGGTCTATCTGACAGCATTTGAGTACAACTTTGTAAAGCAGGCATTGGAAATGGGCAATATTATCCTTATTTTACAGTTGAGCAAACTGATCAAACTGAAGGAACTGACACATGGCCACACAGCTAGAAAATTACCGAAGCTAATTTCAAACCCTGTCCTTCATACCACACTTCCTCTCAGTGTAACAGGTCCTTTCCCCCAGCTCCTTCTCTTCATTGTAAAAGTACAGTGCTCTCATAGGTGTTTAAAGGTGGTTTACTATTGGACTGTAGAGAAAATATTGTCCAAATGAAATGAAATGAAATATACTACTATGTACAAGGGCACTGTGTTAGACTCAATCAGTCAAGTCAGTGAGCATTTATTAAGCCATACATACTACATTAGAGGCACCCTGCTAAGTGCTGAGCTTTGAGAATACAAATAAAAGCAGAAATATAGTCTCTGCCCTTAAGAAGCTTGCATTCTATTGGGGAAGACAATATACAAAAAGAAGCTGAAAGGAGAGGAGAGGTGAAAGGAAGTGGGAAAGGGAAGGGAACTGGCTGAAGGGTAGGGGTGGGGGATGAATGGTAGAAAAAGTCCTGTGGAGATGAGTTAGCAATGTAGCCTGGAGAGGGATAAGGATTCTGGTAAAGGGTAACCTTTGTAAATCAGAAAAGTTCTATGACTCAGGCTTCTACCTTTTTATCTCCTCCCAGTTCTCCTTCCATGTTTTATATCTCATCCTTCTGGAATGTGTATTTCCCACATCTCTGGTTATGGTATCTTAGGGTCGTTGCCAGGTACTTTTCTTTTCTCCTCTCTATATCTGCTTTCCCCAGACAAGTACTGTTCCGTGTATTTCCTTGTCTCATATCTCAAACTTGTTGGCCATGTCCCTGGGGATTCAATTCCTTTGACCCCTGCTCCCTAAGCACAACTTTCCCTTATATGATCACAAGCTAAGCTAAGGTGCGAAATCCAGTCGAACCCCTTCCCTTTACAGATGAAACGACTGAGGGCCCAAGAGGTGAAATAATTTGCTTAAGGTCACAAAAGTATTAAATAGAAGATTCAGAATTAAAACTTAGGTCGTCTGATTCTAAATCCAGTGCTCATTGGACCACACTGAATTTCTAAGTTGGGCATCTAAGCTTTGACTTTCACTCCTCATCTGCCTTTCTTTCCCCACCCTGCTCCTGCATCAAGAATGTCCCTGGACATTTGCTCTCTTTTGCCCTCAAACCATCCTTTCTATTCCTGGTCATTCTGCCTGAAGCAATTTCATCCCTGGCTGGATGGTAGCCGCTAACTCTGCTCTTGGTGCTAAAATGGACTTTTTTTTTAACCTCTTATATTGAACAGACTTGGAACCATGCACAAGGTTAGGCCCCTAGGGTCTCTTACTATACCTGGCTGTCTTCCATGCTACTTCTACTCCCAGATCTTCCTCCATATCAACCTAGAGCTCTTGCTATCCCAAGCCTGGATATTACACCCCCTACTCCTCCCTCATAGACTGATAGCCACACTTTTGTGCCAATAGACGGGTACTTGTCTCTATTCTCAGAACGGGCTTAAAACACTTCTTTAATCCATTAAGCACCTAATTTATGCTTGGGTCCTTCCCCTGAGTTGAGAGGGTGTAGGAAATAGTGTTGTTGGTAATGTTGGTGATGTGGGTGCCATAGATGGGGTTTTTTTAAAATAACAATTACAAATATATAATAAATTAGCAATATAGAATAGAATAATATAGAATAATAAATTAAAAATTATATAAACATGTTCTTTCTCCCTCCCATATAAATCATCAGGCAGGGTCATATTCCCATACCAGGTTTGTTAAGTGAGTTTGAAAGTAGGGAGGGGAAGCACTGGCCTCAGATAACACAGCATGTGTTTCCAGCATAGAAAATTAGGCTGAAATTGGAGTTGTTCTACAACAGAGGCTAAACAATAAGAAACTGGAGGAGTGTATAGGGTATCTTCCCCGAGGTCTTGATTATCTGAAAAGAATAGGGAAGCCTGAACTAAAGCTCCCAAGTTTGAGGTTCTATGATGCTAAATTGGATAAATAGGGGTTCAGATAAACCAGAGGGGCCTTCAATATAAACACATTGCAGGCAGTAACATGACCTCATTTGAGATAACAGGACTTCTAGATAAGGACATTCAAGAGAATTAGAGTATTATAGTGTGCCCTAAACAAATATAAGGAACAGAGCAGGATGGAGAAATTAATTTGTTGTTAATTAATTAATTAAAATAACTTCATCACTATTTCAAAAAACTTGTCTTCCTGCAAAATCCCAACAACTCTGAAACTCACCCCTGCTCAGCATACCTGGTCCTGGGACCTCTCCCTCCCTCTGACCAGAGAGGGCAGAGGGTAGACATCCATCCAAATCTATTTAAGGAAGGGGCCCTAGCCATCTCCTCATATCCCACCCAGCTGTAGAACTTCTTTGTGTTCAGCATGGGGTACCATCCCTCTTCCCTTTCCTCCCTTTCAGTTTCTTTTTAAGTGTTGTCTTCCCAATTGTGAGCCCCTCAAGTGGAGGGACTGTCTTTTGCCTTTTTATTTAATCCCCAGAGTTTGGCACAGTGCCTGGCACACAGTAGGTCCTTAATAAACGTTTACTGATGGACTGACAATTAAGAAGAGTTAAGTAAAAAGGGAGCCTACACTAACTCAGTGAGTTCTCCCTGGCCTAAGATGACTCAGTTCAGAACATTCAGCCCAGCAGGGTGACTGTCTACCAAGAAAGAAAATTTGGGATAATTAAATAATCTTGCTCTGTTCAGCTAATGTTAAGAGTAGTTAGTATCACAGCTGATGAGTGTGGAGGAAGGCAGAGCATACTAAATTAAAAAAAAAAGAAGAAGAAAGGACTTCAGTTTTTTAGCGGAGGAGAGACAATGCTTTAAAAGAAGAAATGGGATTGTGGTTCAACAGGGGTTAAGAAATGGATGTTTCCCCCTTTGGATATAGGAAAGGACTACCAAAGGAAACTAAATAAGTCTGAGTTATTGAAGAGAAAGCGATGGAGTCAGTTAAAGTGAAACTTGAAGATCTCTACAGGGGATCCTAAGTCTTAGTTGGTGAGAGGGGCCAGCAGCCTGTGCAGGGCATAAGGTCAATTCAACCTTTTGGAACTGGATCATAAGAGTTGTCATTGGACCATTTGCAAATGTCCCAGAAGCAGAGAGCTTGAGCCTAAGGCAGCTAGACACACTAGAGGAACAGTGCTATCACCCTGAGCCTCCTAAGAAACTGCTTTTTCCAAGGTTAACAACAGTCTCTTAATTGCTAACTCCCTTGCCCTTTTCTGGGACATCTGCTCTCTTAGTTCCCTCTTCCCTCTCCCCCATACCCAACTTGTCTGACTGCTTTTCTCTCTCATTTGCTAGATCATCACTATGTTCCACCTCTGAGGCCTAGGTTTATCCTGGGCCCCTTTCTCATCTTCCTCTAAATTCTTTCTCTGATCTCATCCGCATCTCTGATGCATTTAATTATCATCTCCAGACATCTATCTAGATATCAACCAGCCCTCATCTCCTTCCTGACCTCTAGCCCTCTATCACCAACTGCCTGTTGGATACCTCCCCCTAAATATCCCCTAAGCCCCTCAAATTCAATATGTCCAAAGTGGAATTATCTCCCTTCCTTCCTACTCATTTCCCAACTTCCCTGTTTGTTTCCAGTGCCCTACTATCTTTCTGGTCAACTAAATTTGCAGTCTTGGAGCTGCCTCCCACTCTTCACTCTGCTTCACTGCATTGCTCAGTCTACTTCCCCCAGTACCCAACCAGTTGCCATGTCTTGTTGATCCCAGCTCCAGAGCATCACTTGAATTTGTCCCCTTTCTGGAAGGCCAGACAGAAGCACAGACAAGGATAGGGACAGCTTTGAAAGCTACAGATTCAACTTACTATAGACTTAAAAATATAGGCAACATTTACAGTTTCATGTAAATTTTTGAAATACTTCTTTCATTTAGGGTTTTTTTTTGTTTGTTTTTGTTTTTTTGCTTTTAGGCAACTGGGGTTAAGTGACTTGCCCAGAGTCACACAGCTAGTAAGTGTCAAGTGTTTGGTCTGAGGCTGGATTTGAACTCAGGTCCTCCTGACTTCAGGGCCAGTGCTCTGTCCACTGCACCACCTAGCTGCCCCTTTCATTTAGTATTTGCTAAATTCAGAATAAAAATAAATGCAAAGATATTTAAAAGACTCTGTTTCCTTTCCATTCACATGGTCATTGCCCTATTTCAGGCAATCCCCTCTCACTTGAACTATTGCAATAGTTTCCTTTACTAAAATCCCTGGCAATGAGTCAGTTCTTGATGAGACTAGTTCCTCTATGTATGCCCTTGATCCCATTCCTTC